CGAAAGAGACTATGTAACTGTGTGCACAAACTTGTAGTGTCAGGAAGGGCCCATGGATCCCCTTTTTTTTTCCTTGGGGGGGGCCCGATTTTTAGTTTTTGCAGGTTTGAGGACTTAGCATAGATTGTTCAGATTGTGAAAAATTGATTGTTGTTAACCTCATTTATAAGACACTAATGAATAAGCCAGAATGTCACATAGAGTTTTCCTGTTGGCTGGAGTATTTTCCAGTCTGCTGTCTAGCAAACTCCTTTTTTGGTGTTGCAGTACCTCGGAAGCCAAATTAATAACAACAAGATGCTTGCTGAGCATAGAATCAGAGCAAAGGGAGTTGACAGTCTTGTTTGATATTTCACCCAGGCTGTTTTAGAGCCCAGGGAAGCATTCCTGCTTCTCTGTTAGAGCACACCTATCTAGTGCTTCTTGTCTCCCTCGCTTGAAGGATCACTGAAGCATTCTTAGTCTTGCTCTGTCCCTCAACCCAACTCTCCAGTTCTGTTTCTGACAATAACTCAGAAATATAATTAATTATGTTACCACTTATTTTGGTTATGCTGAGGATAACCTTTGTTTTTATAGTGCTTTACAGTTTAGAAAGCTCTTTCATATCTATTAGCTCGTTTGATCCTATGTTAGGTGGGCAAGGCAGGTATTGTCCCCACTTTACAGATGAGAAACCTGGAGTTCAAAAAGCTTAGGTGACGTCATCAAAGTCTCCAGGCTGAGTGGTGAAATGAGGACTACAGTTTGGGTCATCTGATCCTAGTTTAATGCCCTCCTCTTCATTTAAAGCTGACCTCATCCATTCCGTGTTGAGTTATATTTGTTCCATTTCAGGTGACGTAATTTCTGCCTTTGCCACTAAATTTTGGGAATGCCCCCTATATACAGGCCAGGGACCTTTGAGCACTGATTATAATATTTATATGAGTACAATCATAATAGCTAACATTTATTGAGTGTTTACTATTACCAGGCATTGTGCTGAGTGTTTTATATACATCATCCCATTGAATCCTCAGAGTAGTCTGTAAGATGCTATTATTATCGCTCCCATTTTATGAATGAGGAAACTGAGGCACCAAGAGGCTAAGAAACTGGCCCAAAGTCATGCAGCTAGGGAGTGGTCAAATCAGGATTCAAACCTAAGCAGTTTGGTTCCGGAGCCTTAGCCACTGTACTTTATTGCCTCGTAAGTAGAGAGTTTGCTAAATTCAAGGAAACCAGCTTTTGAAATGGAAAAGTTTAGGATATAGTTTTTTAAATAAATCTGAATTTATTAAGAGAAATGATCACTCACCTAATTTTTCTCACTTGCCAAGAAAAAGAGACATATACAATATTTATTTTTCTCCACTTTTTGATTCCTTACCTTCAATTCCTCTGCTGTTTTGGCATCAAGTATTTCAGAAAGGTATAGATACTATAAAACCGAAAAAACCAAACCCGTTGCCGTCAAGTCGATTCTGACTCATAGCGACCCTGTAGGACAGAGTAGAACTGCCTCATAGGGTTTCCAAGGAGCTGCTGGTGGATTTGAACTGCTGATCTTTTGGTTAGCAGCCAAGCTCTTAACCATGCACCACCAGGACTGGGAGTTAGGAGACTTGAATTCTAGTTGTGGTTTGAAGTCAAAGTCATATGTCCTTGGGCAAGTCATTTGATTCAAGTTTCTGTTTCCAGATTTTTATCATAATGGCAGATTTCTTCCAGCTTTATGATACATTGGAATATGCAGAGCTGACTTATCTATATGACTTGATTGGGTTAATTTAGTATGCCTGTCACCTCTGATGTTATTTATTATTTACCTCTTACCATATTTGTGGAGACCCTGGGTGGTGCAAATGTTTAAGCGCTTGACTATCAGCTGGAAGACTGGTAGTTTGAACCCATCCAGAGACATCTTGGAAGACAGGGCTGGTGATCTGCTTCTGAAAGGTCACAGCTTTGAAAACCCTGTGGAGCAATTCTGTTCTACACACACATGGGGTCACCATGAGTCGAAATCAACTCAGTGGCAACTAACGAGAACAACAAGGTTTCTGTTTAGCTTTTATCTGGAACTGCCACAAGGATTATTGGTACTGTTCGGTTAAACATTTGTTGAATTCATAAAATGTGCTGGTCATTGAATTAGGGAGACAACATGAACCAGAGGTTCATTTCTTCCAGGAGCTTACAGCCTAGTGGAGGAGACAGAGTAATTTAACAAGTGGCTTCTACATACATGTGTTAAGTACTCCTTTATCTAGAGAGTCTTGGGAACTCAGAGGATAGATCTACCTGTCTGGGAGAATCAGGAAAGGCTTTCTAAAACCTTATGGAGCACAGTTCTACTCTGACACACATGGAGTTGCCATGAGTCAGGATCGACACAACAGCAACTGGTTTTTTTTTTTTTTTTTTTTTTTTAAGAATTTAAAGGAAGAATGAACAATGAATTTAATATGTGAAAATATTTTGAATACTTTAAAAATTAAAGTAAAAATTAGTATAAGGTGATCTGTCACCAACAGACACAAATTTCATTAAAGTGTTTGCTCTGATTTTCTTAAGTGTTGGATCAGAACAGCTTCTTGCTTTGAAGTTCTGTCTCCTAAGTGAATTGTCTCTGTTCTCAGTGAAATATCATTGCAGTAAGAGAACCTGTTGTAACCACAGCCCACTTCAACTTTACCAAAAAAAAGAAAAAGAAAAAGAAAACCAAACTTGTTGCGGTCGAATGGATTCCAACTCATAGCGACCCTATGGGACAGAGTAGAATTGCCCCCATAGGATTTCCAAGGAGTGGCTGGTGGATTTGAACTGCCAACTTTATGGTTAGCCGCTCAACATTTATTCACAGCAGAAAAGATGTTTATTTTTTAGGCCAGTGTCTACTTGATATTAACATCAAAAGGGAGTAAGGTTTTGTCTAGACAAGTATCTCCCAAACCATGTTGCATAAAACTATTTTCTGCTGGATATTAATAACTATTCATTAAAAAAAAGAGTCCTAGGGAAAATAATTTGGATAAATGATGAGTTAAAGTTAAACAGGCTAATTTATTACATGACTAGAGAATTTACATTGTATAATTTTAAAAAGAAAACAAATATGCAAGGTTTCTTTAACTTATGGAATCTTTCTTTTGTGGAACATCTTGTGAAACATCTGAAATAGTTTGGAAAGAGTGCTCTGTCTGGATAAGGGTTTCTTGATGCCAGCACTATTGATATTTTGGACTAGATAATTCTTGGTTGTGATAGACTGTCATGTGCATTGTAGGCTGTTTAGCTATGTCCTTGGACTTTACCCACTGGATGCTGGTAGCACCCTCCATGTTATGACAATCAAAAATGTCTCCAGACATTTGCCAAATGTTTCTTGGGGTGGGGGGCAAAATCGCCCCTGGTTGAGAACCACTGGTCTAGACTGTAAGTTCCTTGAAGGCAGGGACTCTATTTTGAGTCCACAGTGCCAGTTAAACATGTCATAAATGAGTAAATGTCTGTTGAATGAATAAACCAGACCTTATGATCAGAAGAATCTTAGATCACCCAGATTCTAAAAAGCAGAGTATAGACAGAATGTCTAGCTGGCATTACTAGTATTGTTTCACTATCAAAATTAGCAAGTAAATTGATAAGTATCGCTTCTGTTTAATCTCTCCTGTAAGTACAGCCTATGATAATGCAGGCTAATTTACGGGGGATTAATGGTTCATCTTCAGTCTGAACACTGTGATGACCCCCAGAGTTTAGAGATGGTTTTATTTCAAAATGCATATAATTTTGCAACCCTGACGCACAAAGGTGTGCGTGAGGGTTGTATCCTTTCAATGTAAGTTCTGTACGTTTATCCTGAGCAAATAATCCAAGAAGCTGGACTGTATGCAGAAGAACATGGCATCAAGATTGGAGGAAGACTCATTAACAACCTACATTATGCAGATGACACAACCTTGCTTGCTGAAAGTGAAGAGAACTTGAACCACTTACTGATGAAGATCAAAGACCACAGCCTTTGGTATGGATTACACTTCCACATAAAGAAAACAAAAATCTTCACAACTGGACCAATAAGCAACATCATGATAAACGGAGAAAAGATTGAAGTTGTCAAGGATTTCATTTTACTTGGATCCACAATCAACACCCATGGAAGCAGCAGTCAAGAAATCAGACAATCCATTGCATCGGACAAATCTGCTGCAAAAGACCTCTTTAAAGTGTTAAAAAGCAGAGATGTCACCTTGAAGACTAGGGTGTACCTGACCCAAGCCATGGTGTTTTCAATCACCTAGTATGCATGAGAAAGCTGGACAATGAATAAGGAAGATGGAAGAAAAATTGATGCCTTTGAATTGTGGTGTTGGTAAAGAATACTGAATATACCACGGACTGCCAAAAGAACAAACAACTCTGTCTTGGAAGAAGTACAACCAGAATGCTCCTTAGAAGCTAACATGGCGAGACTACGTCTCACATACTTTGGACATATTATCAGGAGGGATCAGTCCCTGGAGAAGGATGTCATGCTTGGTAAAGTGGAGGGTCAGCAAAAAAGAGGAAGCCCTCAATGAGACGGATTGACACCGTGGCTGCAACAATGGGCTCAAGCATGACAGGGACTGTGAGGATGGCGCAGGATCAGGCAGTGTTTCGTTCTGTTGTACATAGGGTCGCTGTGAGTCAGAACCAACTGGATGGCACCTAACAACAACAACATAATTTTGCAAGCCAAGCTGTAGAGATACTAATGCTCATGAAGGGTTTTATATGGTAGTCTACATCTGAGAGGAATTCATCAAACTATCTACTTTTGACATCTCCAAATTCAGAATAATAGCAACGACAGAATATTTAGAAACGTAAATTTAAGTCAAGAGATACCCCAAACTCTTTATATCAGCATGTGTTTGGTGAGCAATAATATCTCAATAATTGTAGCTGTCATTATTAAGGGATATTATCCTTCATGACCAAATAAATAGCATATCAAATTCTTTCAATCTCCTTAGGGCCTCCAACCAACCTGTTTCAGCCACCTCGTCGTCCTGGCCTTGGGACTGTTGGAAAACCAATTCGACTGTTAGCCAATCACTTTCAGGTTCAGATTCCTAAAATAGATGTGTATCACTATGATGTGGATATCAAACCAGAAAAACGGCCCCGTAGAGTCAACAGGTAAGGATTAGAAAAAGTAGAATTTTATACAATTAAATGCATATAATTTATTTATTAGGTAACACCCATATTGTTCTCTAAATTCTTTCAACATGTGGTCTTTGTTTTTCTCTAAAATAGTAACCTTCTTGATGGCAGGTTTGCTGTCTCATACTTGGTTATCCTCCACAGATCCTAGCAGAGTGCTGGATACATCATTGGTCAATCAGTAAATAGTTACTGAATGAAGGAGAAGAAAGACCACTCTTTCATTCACCCAGGCTAACAGAAATTTATAAAATAAGTGAAGACGTTAGTGTTCATGGGAAAGAAAACTACCTGTAAATTCAAATTTTATTGTTAAGTGTTGTAATTAGACATGAAAAAAATGTTAAGTGTAAAGACAGAAGGATCATCTTGGAGCATTGTAGAAAGTAAGCTCAGAGAGAAGCTCTATTTCTAGCATTGTCCAAGAGGGGTCTTGATGAGAGATAGGGTCTGTATGGGATGACTATACAGGTGTGATCACTTGGACCTGTAGCAAATATTCTTACAATATGCTGAGAACACCTACTTTCCTTTTCCCTGATTCTGTGCAGTGTTGTTTAAGCAGTCTTTGATGTTAAGGTTCTTGCTTTTCTAAGAATGCTCTTTCTGTTGAGTGAAATATTTTGTGCTGTTTGATTTTTTTTATCATTACAAATCAATAATTTGGCTTTCTGGTATAGTTCAGTCTCATGTGAGGTCATAATAGTTTGGCTATCATGACTGTGAGATCAATCATAGTAAATGGCTAACATTGAGTCATTCAGCAAATATTTTACTGAGTGCTTACGGTGTGCCAAGTATTGTTCTAGACTCTGGGAATACAACAAAACAGGTAAAAGTTCCTACCCTTGAGGAGCTTATATGTAGTAGGAGAAGACCATAAATAAACAAATAAATTTAAAAAACATATTATTTGTTAGTGGAGATAAGTGCTATAGAGAAAAATAAAGCAGGGATGGAAGAAAGGAATGGGAGTGGGGCAAACCACTGATATATTGGTATTTATATTCATATAAAATTGGTTTTAATATAGTTATGGAAGGTCTCACTGAAAAGTGACATTTGAGAAGAAAAGTAAGGAGTATATAGTTGAAGAATATTCCAGGCAGAGGCAACAGTTTACTTGGTGTATTTAAGGATTAGCAAATAGGTCTGGATTGCTGGAGTGAGAGAAGGAGGGAGAGAGTGATAGGTTAGAGAAACTCCAAAGGGCCCTAATCATGCAGAATCTTGTAGGCAGTGCCACAGATGATTGATTTAGATTTTTAATGGATTGCCCTGGCAGCTGTGTTGAAAGTGGACACATCCTTACCTAAGCAGGTAAGGATGAAAGCAGGAAAATCAATTAGGAGGCACTTGTAATAATTCAGATGAAAAGTGATAGTTACTTTGACCTGGGTAGTAAAAAGGATAGTGATGAGAAGTGGTCAGATTATACAAATATTCTGAAAGTAGTGTCAACAAGACTTGCTGTTGGATTGAACATGGGATGTGAGAGAAAGACGTGAGTCATGATCAATTCGAGGGTTTTTGTCCTGAGCAAGTGGGAAAATGGACTTGCCATTTATTAGGATGGGAAAGAATGTGGGAGGAGCAGGTTTTGGAGTGGCAGATCAGTAGACCAGTTTTGGATATCTTAGGTTGAGATGTCTATTATAGATGCTCTAGAGGAGATATTGAGCAATAATTTGAATATGTGAGGCTGGAGTTCTGGGAAGAGGTCCAGGCTGGCGACAAATATTTGAGAGAGACATCAACATATTGGTAGTAAAACCATGAGATGGGATGAGATCATGTAGGAAGCAGGGCTTTGAACTGGTTTGAACCAATTCAGTCATGTTAATGAAGCAAAATAGGAACAGACCCAAATTTTTAAAACGGGAACAAGTATGAGTTGAAGCCCTGAAATGGGAGATTCAGAAGAGGCCACGTGAGCCCTTTCAGGAACCTGATGCAGGAGACTGGATTATTGCCAGGACTGTGGAGAGTGACACACATTCAAAGCAGCGCAGTTGGCCACCATCTTTGAGCAGGGCACCGCTGTTTCCAACTCTGCTTGTCAAGAGATTGGTTGCTATGCAATGCACATGCTGCCCTTGTTTTCTAAGAGGAAGATTAAGTTTCTAGCAGGGCTTCAACCTGTAATTTTTCCTCCTCTACTTATCATTCTGTTTCACTCACATTTTAAAAATTTGGGTCCATTTGGATTTTGCTTTTTCAGCCCTGGCTGAACTGGGCAGAACCAGTTCAAAGCCCTGGTAGGAAGTGAGTGTGATTAGAGAAAATAAGACTTCAAGACTGAGCCCTGAGGCACTCTAATATTTAGAGACTGGCAGATGGAGAAGTATCAGCAGCAAAACTAGGATTGAGCAGCCATTGTTGTTGTTGTTAGGTGCCGTCCAGTTGGTTCCGACTCACAGTGACTCTTTGTACAACAGAAGGAAACACTGCCCGGTCCTGAGCCATCCCCACGATCGTTGCTATGCTTGAGCCCATGGTTGCAGCCACTGTGTCAATCCATCTCGTTGAGGGTCTTCCTCTTTTTTGCTGACCCTCCACTTTACCAAGCATGACATCCTTCTCCAGGGAGTGATCCCTCCTGATAACATGTCCAAAGTATGTGAGACGTAGTCTCGCCATCTTTGCTTCTAAGGAGCATTCTGGTTGTACTTCTTCCAAGACAGATTTGTTTGTTCTTTTGGCAGTCCTGGTATATTCAGTATTCTTTACCAACACCACAATTCAAAGGCATCAATTCTTCTTCCATCTTCCTTATTCATTGTCCAGCTTTCCCATGCATATTAGGTGATTGAAAACACCATGGCTTGGGTCAGGTACACCCTAGTCTTCAAGGTGACATCTCTGCTTTTTAACACATTAAAGAGGTCTTTTGCAGCAGATTTGTCCAATGCAATGCATCGTTTGATTTCTTGACTGCTGCTTCCATGGGTGTTGATTGTGGATCCAAGTGAAATGAAATCCTTGACAACTTCAATCTTTTCTCCATTTGTCATGATGTTGGTCCAGTTGTGAAGATTTTTGTTTTCTTTATGTGGAAGTGTAATCCATACTGAAGGCTGTGGTCTTTGATCTTCATCAGTAAGTGGTTCAAGTCCTCTTCACTTTCAGCAAGCAAGGTTGTGTCACCTGCATAACGTAGGTTGTTAATGAGTCTTCCTCCAATCTTGACGCCACGTTCATATAGTCCAGCTTCTTGGATTATTTGCTCAGCATACAGATTGAATAAGTATGGTGAAATGAAACAATCCTGGTGCATACCTTTCCTGATTTTAAACCATGCAGTATCCCCTTAATCTATTTGAATGACTGCCTCTTGATCTACGTACAGGTTCCTCATGAGCACAATTAAGTGTTCTGGAATTCCCATTGTTTGCAGTGTTATCCATAATTTGTTATGATCCACACAGTCGAATGCCTTTGCATGTTAATAAAACACAGGCAAACATCTTTCTGGTATTCTCTGCTTTCAGCCAGGATCCATCTGACATCAGCGGTGATATTCTTCATTCCACATCCTCCTCTGAATCTGGCTTGAATTTCTGGCAGTTCCCTGTCAATGTACTGCTGCAGCTACCTTTGAACTATCTTCAGCAAAATTTTACTTGCATGTGATATTAATGATATTGTATGATAATTTCCTCCTTCTGTTGGATCACCTCTCTTTGGAATAGGCATAAATATGGATCCCTTCCAGTCAGTTGGCCAGATAGCTGTCTTCCAAATTTCTTGGCATAGATGAGTGAGCACTTCCAGTGCTGCATCTGTTTGTTGAAACATCTTAACTGGTATTGTGTCAATTCCCAGAGCCTTGTTTTTCGCCAATGCCTTCAGTGCAGCTTGGTCTTCTTTCTTCAGTATCATTGGTTCCTGATCATATGCTACCTCCTGAATGTTTGAACGTTGACCAATTCTTCTTGGTACAAACTCTCTATATTCCTTCCATCTTCTTTTGATGCTTCCTGCGTCATTTAATATTTTCCCTGTAGAATCCTTCAATATTGCAACTCGAGGCTTGAATTTTTTCTTCAGTTTTTTCAGCTTGAGAAATGCAGAGCTTGTTCTTCCCTTTTGGTTTTCTATCTCTTGGTCTTTGCACATGTCATTATAATACTTTACTTTGTCTTCTCTATCTGCCCTTTGAAATCTTCTGTTCAGCTCTTTTGCTTCATCATTTCTTCCTTTTGCTTTAGCTACTGTACATTCCAGAGCAACTTTCAGTCTCTTCTGATATCCATTTTGGTTTTCTCTTTCTTTCCATCTTTTTAATGACCTCTTGCTTTCTTCATGTATAATGTCCTTGATATCATTCCACAATTCATCTGGTCTTTGATTATCAGTGTTCAGTGTATCAAATCTGTCTTGAGATGATCTCTCTAAATTCAGGTGGGATATACTCAAGGTCGTACTTTGGCTCTTGTGGGCTTGTTCTAATTTTCTTCAACTTCAACTTGAACTTAAATATGAATAATTGATGGTCTGTTCCACAGTCAGCCCCTGGCCTTGTTCTGACTGATTATATTGAGCTTTTCCATTGTCTCTTTCCACAGATGTAGTCTATTTGATTCCTGTGTATTCCATCTGGGGATGTCCACATGTAGAGTCGCCATTATGTTGTTGAAAAAAGGTATTTGCAATGTAGAAGTCATTGGTCTTACATAATTCTATCATGTGATCTCCGGCATTGTTTCTATCACCAAGGCCATATTTTTCAACTACTAGATCCTTCGTCTTTGTTTCCAACTTTTGCATTCCAATCATCAGTAATTATCAATGCATCTTGATTGCATGTTCGATCAATTTCAGACTGCATGAGTTGGTAAAAATCTTCAATTTCTTCATATTTGGCCTTATTGGTTAGTGCATAAATTTGAATAATAGTCGCATTAACCTAGCTTCCTTGTGGGCGTAGGGATATTATCCTATCACTGACAGTATTGTACTTCAGGATAGATCTTGAAGTACAACCATTGGAGTAGGAGAAAACCAGTAAACAGTGGTGTCCTGAAGGCAAGGGAAGAAGATGTTTTAAATTGGAAGAATTTGTCATCTAATGGTCAAGCAGCAATGGATTTAGCAATGTGGAGCTCATTGAGGACCTTGATAAAAGTGGTGGAGGAAAAGCCTGACTTGATAAGGTTTAAGAGAGAAAGGAGAAGAATAATTAGAGACAACTCCTTCAAGGGATTTTGAGAAGAGCAGAGCAATGGGATGTTCAGACAGAAAGGAAGTGGGGTCAAGTAAGTTTAATTTTTTTTTAAGATTGGAGAAATTGTAGCATCTTTATATGCTGAGAGAATAATCCAGTCAGGAGGGAAATTTTGATGATTCAGGATAGAGGAAAATTGCTGATATCTATTAGCTAACCAGAGTAGGTAGGCTAATCTTGTGACAAGCACTATTCTAAATACTTTATGTGTATTTATTCACTTAATATAACAACCTTCTGAGGTAGGTATTATTATTATTATTAATACTTTACAACTGTAGAAACAGACATGTGCAAGATTAAGAAATTTGTCCAAGGTCATGCAGCTCTGCTACTTAACAGTTGTGTTAGCATGGGCAGGTCCTTGCCGGTTCTGAATTTTTATTTTGTCTCTTGAATATGACGACAATAATAGTAGCTCTACTTGTCTCACAAGGTTATTGTGAAGATTAAATGAGAATAGAGGTGAAAATATCTTGGTCACTGTAAAACTCTTTATTGTTGTAATTTAAGAATGTAAAGCAAGAGTCTACCCTTTTCCAGTATGGGAATGCACAGTTATTAAGTTAGCTTTATTATGGAAAATATATGATACTGTATTTTTCCATCAATTTTTTTCAGTTGAATGTGACTTTACCATATGAGTCTACCACAGATTTCATTTGTAGTAATATTAACGCATTAGCTAGTTGTGATGTATTTTGGCTTTTAAGATATGGTTCCCATGCATGGAGCTCATTCATGTTGGTAAGGCTGCATATGTATAAAAAACCAGCCAGTTACTGTGGAGTCGATTCCATCTCATGGCAACTCCATGTGTGTCAGAGTAGAGCTGTGCTGCGTAGGGTTTTCAATGGCTGTTATCTTTCAGAAGTAGATCACCAGGCCTTTCTTATGAGCTTCTCTGGATGGACTTCCAACCTTTCAACTAGCAGCTAAGCACATTAACCGTTGGTACCACCCAGGGGCTCCTGCACATGTGTGACTTTTTATTGACTCTAGTATTCCAAAATCTCACAGACCCAGGTCTGTCCATACCTGGACATATCATAACTGTGTATGCTCCAGTTTTCCTTGCAGCTGCGTTTATTTCATGGCCTGCATATAGTATGATCTTTCATATATGCAAGAACACCTAAGTAAAGCTACATATGCTTAACTGAGAGGAAGGCTTTTATTTTAAAAAGAAATAAAGTACATCAGTAATTATTTTTCCATGAGAATATTTTACAACATTATTTTCTCTACACTTCTTGGCAACAATGTGGAATAAAACAAACAAGAAAAAAGCAAACAAACCGGTACACAGAATAGCAGATTACCAGCATTAGGCAAAGTGGTTAACTTGTTCTTTTGGGTGTAATACATCTTAGATATATTGATCCTCAGATTTCTAAATTCCTGCCCACTCTCTTTTCCAAAACCAGTATACTTAAATAAGAATGTTGATTTGATAACAAACTTATCACTATTTGGTAGTGGATATCCATGCCAAATTTCGATACTCAAGATCGGCTATTCTTATAAAGCTTTGTTTATTATAGGAGAGGGTTTTAGAAAGCCAGAGTTTAAGAGGATGCCATCGGTTTTATGCTCTTTCCTTTTTTTTTAAACCTCCTTCTGTTATCATCTCATAGTTGCTTTTGTTAACTTGTTGCTACCTTTCTTTAGTTAGCTACTTTTTTTAATTACTTGACCCAATTGTAACTTTAACTTTTACTCTTTCTGAGTAGATTTGCCCTGAATTTAGACGACTGTAGGTATGGTGATACTTTCCTTACTGTTCACCATTTCACAAAGCTAACTGCCAGTATCTTCATTACTGTTAAGGGAGGTAGTAGATACAATGGTGCGGCATTTCAAGATGCAGATATTTGGTGATCGACAGCCTGGCTATGATGGCAAAAGAAACATGTACACAGCACATCCACTGCCAATTGGACGGGATAGGGTGAGTGTTAACAGCAAGAAATGTTTATTAGACTTGAGTCATTTAGTAGAAATTACATATAAAAATGCTTCCCTTCTAATAAGAATTTAATTCTTAGAATTGTTTCTCTTGGTGATGATAGATTTGTGTTATTCTGTGCATATTCTCTGTCCCTTGGTTAATCAAAGATTGAAGATAAGATGAGCATTAGAATTTAGGTTGATTATGCCATCTTTACATATATCCAGAGTTCCTCATATTGTTAAAGTACTACCTGAATCTGAACAGTGGAGTTTTTATAAGTTATAGAAAATTATATAATACTCACTTAGGAAGATAGGTTTGGTTTAGATTCACAACACCATAATAACTTTGTTGTTGTTGTTTACATTTTCTTATTGTGGTAAATATACATAACATAAAATGTGCCATTTTGACCATTTTTAAGAGTATGATTCAGTAGCATTAAGTACATTCACATTGTTGTGTAACTGTCATCACTATTTATTTCCAGAATGCTTTCATCATCCCAAACAGAAACTCTGTGCCCATTAAACAATCACCCCCCACTTCCCTCTTCCTCTAGCCACTGGTAACGTTTATTCTGCTTTCTGTGTCTATGAATTTGCCTATTCTAGATACTTCATATAAGTAAAATCATATAATATTTGTCCTTATGTGTCTGGTTTAATTCACTTAGCGTAATTTTTTCAAGGTTCATCCATGTTGTACCATTATGAGTACTTCATTCCTTTTACGGCTGAATAATATTCCGTCGTATGTATATACAACATTTTATTTATTCATTCATCAGTTGATGGACACTTGGGTTGTTTCTGCATTTTGACTTTTGTGAGTAAGGCTGCTAGGAACATTGGAGCACAAATATCTATTTGAGTCACTGTTTTAAATTCTTTGGGTTGTATAGCTAGGAGTGGAATTGCTGGGTAATATGGTAATTCTGTGTTTAACTTTTTGAGCACAATAACTTTAAAAATATTTACTTTTAAATTTAGAAAAGTAATACATGAATATATGCTCATTTAAACCTATTCAGACAATTTAGAAATGTTGTGGTTTCCTGCCTCCTCCACCTTCCTGCACCCCTCAATTCCATTTTTCTTTTCAGAGGAAACTGCTGATAACAGTTTGGTATGTAGCCTTTCAGATATTTTTATGTGTATTGTATTGGCTATGTATATTCTCTGTTTTTCTCTCTCTCTCTGCATATTTCTCTATGATTAGTTTCTTCATTTAACAATATGTCTGGGAGATCTTTCCATCTCTGTACATTTAGATCTACCTGATTTTTTAACTATTGCGTAAGATTCCATATGGGCACTTTAGGTTGTTTCCAATGTTTTACAATTGCAGAAAATTTTAAACATTCTTATGCATATACCATATTGAATATTCCTGGGATCTTTCCCACAGCCTTTGTAAGTGTGTGTATATGTATTTTTTTCCGTAGGTTGATATGGAGGTGACCCTTCCAGGTGAGGGTAAAGATCAAACCTTTAAAGTGTCTGTTCAGTGGGTGTCAGTTGTGAGCCTTCAGTTACTTTTAGAAGCTTTGGCTGGACACTTGAATGAAGTCCCAGATGACTCAGTACAAGCACTTGAAGTTATCACAAGACACCTTCCCTCTATGAGGTTAGTACCTTGGTTTGAATTCTTTTCCACAAATGTCAGAAGTTTTTGGGAGGTTGTATGGAGCCATTGAAAAGTTCTGTGTATGTTGTATTTCAAGCTTTGTTTCAGTTCATGAAGTTGAGAATGAAATGAAAGACCTTTCAATTTTTTATTGTGAAACGTGCAAACTCTTTATTTCTTCAGGTATACTCCGGTGGGCCGTTCCTTTTTCTCACCTCCTGAAGGTTACTACCACCCTCTGGGAGGGGGCAGGGAGGTTTGGTTTGGCTTTCATCAGTCTGTGAGACCTGCTATGTGGAATATGATGCTCAATATTGATGGTATGATGGAACTCTCTAAACTGTACTCTTGACTGTTTTTTTTTTTTTTTTTTGGTCCTTCTCCTTTCCCTGAAGCTAAGTATCCTTCCTCTCCTCTCTGTTTGTTAGTATCTGCAACTGCTTTCTACCGGGCTCAGCCTATCATTGAGTTCATGTGTGAGGTTTTAGACATTCAGAACATCAATGAACAGACCAAGCCACTAACAGACTCCCAGCGAGTCAAGTTTACCAAAGAAATCAGAGGTAGGTGTTTGCATTAATGCACTCTCGGACAGGCAGCTCAGCGTTGTTCCAGGAGCATGGGCTTTGGAGTTAGACAGACCTGGGCTTCCATCCAGCCCAGGCAGTGGGGCCTTGGGCAAGTTACTTAAGCACTATGAGCCTTAGTTTATTCATCTATAAAATAAAGTTAAGAATATACATCTTATAGGGTTGTTGGGAGAATTAAATGCAATTAGGTTTATAAAGCGTGTAGCACAGTACTTGGCACATATATGGCACTCAGTAAATGTTACCCTTACCTATTTAAAAACTTCCATCTTAATAAAACAACACAAGTTTATTTAGTCTCCTTTTGGAATTTCTTTTCTTATTTACTTGTTATTAGCTATCTTCTCTCACTAGAATGTAAGTTTCATAAGGGCTGTCTCCAGACCCTAGAATAAGTGCCAGAGCATACCAAACCAAAAACCAAACCCGTTGCCATCAAGTCGATTCTGACTCATAACAACTCTGTAGGACAGAGTAGAACTGCCCCATAGGGCTTCCAAAGCTGTAATCTTTACGGAAACAGACTGTCACATCTTTCTCCCTCAGAGTGACTGGTAAGTTCAAGCTGCCGACCTTTTGGTTAGCAGCGAAGCAACTTGACTACTGCACCACTAAGGCTCCTTGCCAGAATATATATATATATGGCCAGATGCTTAATAAATATTTATTGAATGGATTAATAAAGTAGGATGAGCACCTCAAGTTATCTAGGTTCTAATTTCTTGTTTAGCTGATGCCTTTTGCCCACAGAAGATGAAATTTTCCCCATATCTTTGCAGCTTTTTTCCAGTACAGTGTCATGCATGAATCTCTTTTTGCCACTATGATTTTAACTAATACTGATGTTTTGCCTTTTTTTTCTTTTTTTTTTAACTTCAGGTCTTAAAGTTGAGGTGACCCACTGTGGACAGATGAAACGAAAGTATCGAGTCTGTAATGTGACTAGACGGCCAGCCAGTCATCAAACGTATGTTAACCACATCTAAAAATATACCACTACATATTTGGTAACAGAGTGAAGCTACTGTAATCCTTAGAGAAATTAGTATCCTGTGCTGTAATTTTCAAGATCACTGAGGTCTTCACTTAAAGCACCAACAGCTTTAAAAATATTTTGCATATTTTTGATAGAGATATTTATAAAACTTATTGCCTGCCTTTAATTGATTCACCTCTCAAACAGAGTATGCTAAATATAGATCAACTTTTACTTATGGATGCAGAGTTATCATTATAAGTGTTATTTATGATACTGTTGTAATTCTTAATATAGGACCTTCAGGGTCTAGTAAGGCTTGTAAGTCATAAAAGGTTGTCACGCAAAGACATACACTGCTTTTGAGTTTTTGTGTAGATTTTCCCCCTTCCCTTTGTAGCTAGCTCTCACTTCTTCCCTCTGTCAGTGTGTATGGCATGCTTTTAGCGGTGCATTCTTTCTACGTCCTCAATCTCATTTTTCTAATCACCCAACTTCCGTTCCACTGTGAGCTATGCCTGAGGGAGGCAATATATATGAAAGTGCTTTTTAAATTACCATATATGTATGTTTTATTCTTATAATCAACATCATTAAGCTCATGTCTGACATACATGCAAATATTAACTCTCTGAGTAAAGGGTGTGAACTTAAATATATAAACTTTACATTATTTTGGTTGCTTAGAGCCCCCCCCCCCTTTTTTTACTTATGTTGTAGTCTTTGTTTTAGATCAGTGGTTCTCAATTTTCACACTTAAGTATGTACCAGAATTACCTGGAGGACTTTGTTTTAGATAGTTGAAGTTTTTTTGTGACCTCTGGGTGAGTGAGGTGTATTTATTCAGTCTGATTTGAGTAAATTCTTCAGCATCACCTCATGTACGCGTTACATGAATTTCTTAAGAGTTATGAGGTGAAATTCTATATCTAGTTCAAATTATACCATTGACTTCATTTTCTAGGAAAATGTTACCAAAATCTTACGAAGTCACTATTGAGAACTGTAACATTTGTTTCAAGAACTGTGCCTTTTTCATTATTTAATTACTTCACATAATCCTATAAAAAATGTAGATTTAGAGACCTATATAATCTTTGCACAAAGTTTAAAAGCACATAGATTTAAATATCACATAGATGATCCTTCCTGCATTGTTACCTCATGGGAGCTGTAACAGTTACAAAAGCAGCCTTAAAGTTATCATTGTGCCAAGTATTTAGGAAAGTTCACCCACTAGAAGAGCTAAATAAAGAATCTTTTAGATCATGGTCCCCAGTTTATACGAGATATCCTGGCACAGTCTCAATTTCATGTATGGTCTTGTTGCCGCCAATCTACATGGATTTGTCCTGGTTTGGGGATCTGAAAATGTGATCCCAATAACTATGCTACACTCATTTTACGAAAAGCTCTGTTAAACAGACACAAGTACTATGTGGATGACTCTCAGTCCTTATTTGAGTTACAATATCTTTAAGAAACCAGCAAGAGGTTTTATTCTTATCTATATTACCTGACCTCTACTGTCTGTATATTTTTTGGTTCTTCAGCTTCTTGTTTCAAGTTCTTTAAAAAATTTTAATTTACAAATTTTCTCATCCTAACTTCAACAAACATGGAAAATTCCAACAGAACCACTGTTCTGATTAAATTCTAAAATTTCAGTGAAAATGCTCAGATAGTTTGACTTTGTTTTTTAACTGACTGGTAGAAAATGTTAGTAGGTTGTTTGTTTTCTTAAAAAAATAGAATTTGAAGAAATTTCTAAAGAGACATTCTCTCCTATAGATTTCCTTTACAGCTAGAAAATGGTCAAGCTATGGAATGTACAGTAGCTCAATATTTTAAACAAAAGTATAGTCTGCAGCTGAAATACCCCCATCTTCCCTGTCTCCAAGTGGGACAAGAACAAAAACATACATACTTGCCACTTGAGGTAAGCTAATTTTTTTTTCGCCAATCAGCCAATCTTTTGAATAAGTTAAAAAAAAAAAAAAGTGTGTTCTAAATTAGTGGCAGAATTTGGTACTAATTCCTAAAACATTTTGGGCATATAACTTCACTGTGTAACAGAATTTTCATTTTACTGGAAATGGGGCATGTAAAATACAGTATGGCAATGGCCTAAAATATAGAAACCAATTTCTCTTTGCCTCTTGGTAGGTCTGTAATATAGTGGCAGGACAGCGATGTATAAAGAAGCTCACAGACAATCAGACTTCCACAATGATCAAAGCAACCGCAAGATCTGCTCCTGACAGACAGGAAGAAATCAGCAGACTGGTCAGTAAGGCATGGTCTTCAAAATAAGCTAGCTTTCAGAGGAAAAAAAAAGAAAACTCCTGATGGGACACAGTTACTTTTTGGTTTTTATATGTGCAGGCTTTCCTGTTCTTTAGGTGAAGAGTAACAGCATGGTGGGTGGACCTGATCCATACCTTAAAGAATTTGGTATTGTTGTCCACAATGAAATGACAGAGCTCACGGGCCGGGTGCTCCCAGCACCAATGCTGCAATATGGAGGCCGGGTAAGCTTTTTATTTTATTAAGTAAGCTTCTTCTACAACCAGTTTAAAAGCAGAATAACACACTGAATTTACCGTTAGTTTTGGTCATTATTACTTGTTTTCTTTTGGCTGATACCAATAAGAGTTTTGTTTATCCGCTGCCAATGTTAAAATGGTCTTGGATTATAATGTCTTTCTTTCTTTCTTTTTTTAAGAATAAAACAGTAGCCACACCCAACCAGGGTGTCTGGGATATGCGAGGAAAGCAGTTTTATGCTGGCATTGAAATTAAAGTTTGGGCAGTTGCTTGTTTTGCACCTCAGAAACAATGTAGGGAAGATTTACTAAAGTGAGTATCTTCGTATTGCTATGAAATGACGTCTTTGATGTGATGTACCGTGTACCCTGGAACTAAATCCCCGACTCCTGTAGTGATACCATCTGGCTATATGAAAATGACCTTGTATGTTTCAGATTTCAAACTTGGGAATTACATTAAGAATCTGACTCAGCTTCCTTACATTCAGAGCAGAAATGTGTGACTCACAAACCTGAAGTGGTCAGTGCTGGTTGGCAGATTCTTGAGTTCTTGATGAAGCTTCCACAGCTCATCTCCTTTGATATTAATTGTATCTTTTCAGCTAAGATAAAAACTAGTTTATTTTTAATCAGTATAATTTACTTGTGAGCTTGTTTAGCTGCAGGGTCACTGACTAAGATTAGTGGCTCACATCTTACAGATGTAGCTATCTATATAATGGAAGTTAGTGAGAAGAGTGGAAAAATCAAGGCAAGAAAAGGGAATGGGGATGAAAATTAAAGAATCCTATAAAATATTGGCAAATGCACAAAAAAAATTATTCTGAAAGCTTTAAACATAGTAGAAGTAACTTCTTAAGTCCAAAATTTTCAACTTCAAAATGAATTTTACTTTTTTTAAGTGGTGGTTTATTTTTTCCAACAGTTTCTACATGTATGTAATTCAATGATATTGATTACATTCTTCAAGTTGTGCAACCATTCTCGCTATCTTTTTCCAAATTATTTCACCACTATTAACATAAACTCAATGCCCCCTAAGAAAAACTCCCCTCTCCCCCAACCCTGGTAACCACTAATAATGTTTGGTTTCCGTGTCTTTGCTTATTTCATATAAGCGAGATCATACACTATTTGTCCTTTTGTGACTGATTTATTTCACTCAGCATAATATTTTCAACGTTCATCCACGTAGTGGCGTGCATCAGGACTTCATTTCTCTTTATGGCTCAGTCGTATTCCGTTGTATGTATATACCACGTTTTGTTTGTCCATTCATCTGTTGATGGATATTTCGGTTGTTTACACATTTTGGCTATTGTGAAAAATGCAGCAGTGAACATTGGTGTACAGGTGTGATGATTTCTTTTGTCATTTCTATTGAACCAAATCTGTTACAAGTCTGAATGTAACCTAAACACACTCATTTCGTGACAGCGTATTTCTGTGTTGTCAGGTAAGCATAAGCTTACCCAACTATTTTAGTAACTTTTGACCTTGCTTTTCTTTACTCTGGAATTACTGATTTGAAAGTTTTAAACAGCCATGCTATTCTAGTCCCCAAGGCCCAGCTGAGATATAATTATTTAAAAATTAAAAATGATAATTTGATAGCTTAATAATACAGATTCTTCTCTGCTATAATTGTAGTGATACAACTGCTTGTCTTTTTTTGGCAACCAGGAAAATTTTTTTTTAATTTTGGTTAAAGCCCTAAAACATAGGCTAGAGCCCTCAAATGTACTCTGTAATAAAAGCACTGTGCCACTGGTTCTATTTTAACAGAAGTTTCACTGACCAGCTACGTAAAATCTCCAAGGATGCAGGAATGCCCATCCAGGGTCAGCCGTGTTTCTGCAAGTACGCACAAGGTGCAGACAGCGTGGAGCCCATGTTTAAGCATCTGAAAATGACATATGTGGGCCTGCAGCTAATCGTAGTTATCTTGCCCGGGAAGACACCAGTATATGGTATGGACCCTGTTTAATGCTGAGTAACAAATAGTAGGTGTAACAGTCAGGATAAACTAGGTTATAACAAACAGCCTCAAACTTTAAGTGGCTCAAAGCAACAGGGGTTGATTTTTCATTCTTGTTATGTGTCCATTGAGGGTAGATGGGGCTCTGCTCCATGTTATCATGCCATTCTTACTCCTGGACCCATACTGGCAGAGCAGCTGCTATTTGGAAAATTGTTGGCCCCAAGCCAGAGGGAAAGGAGAGCTCTGGAGGGTCTAAACATCTGCAACAGCTTGGCCGTAACTAGCCTTATGGCCCTACCAGCCTGGGTTGGGGGAGTGGGGATGAGGGGCAGGAAATGCAATGCAATCCTACCCAGAGGTCCAGAGCAGGGAGAACTGGACATGCTTGGTGAAAAGTACTTAGGAATATCAGAGTGGGAGAGCCTGACACTTCCAGAAAAGGATCTGTTTAGTTTGTGTCTATTATAAGAATGATACAAAGTTCTTTTGGCTATCACCTAAGTAAGGGATTTAGCAACTACAGACCAGCAGCTAGAACTTCATAAAATTTCTTCAACCTTCTCTGTATTTGCTTCTTTTGTTACCTTTTGTTTATCCCTAGTTTCTAGAGGGGGAAAAACAACTTTTAGAATTCAAAAGGCTGGTGTGTCTACTGAGAGGGAGGGGCTGGGAAAACTGGTTCCTTTGCCAGAACAGTCACGTGGGAAAAGGAACCTCAAGGAATCCAGCGAGTGGTGGCAGCCAGCACCAGAGAATAAAGGAAACAGGCTGGCTTCAAGGCCTGCAGGAGGGAAGAAAAGGAGAGGGAAGAGGGCCTATCTAAACTGGGGTAAAAAAAAAAAAAAAATTGCCCTGGGGGTTTAGTAGATGAAAGAGCTGACAAAAGAGAAGCATCTAGCACAGTGTACAGTATATAGTAGGCACTCTGTAAAGTTAACGTGTGATTTTTTTTTTCCCTTTGCTCTTAATAATTTGGAAAATATTTAAACATTTTAAAATTAATTAATTAATTTTTGTAGCGGAGGTGAAACGCGTTGGAGATACCCTCCTGGGCATGGCCACACAGTGTGTCCAAGTAAAAAATGTAGTGAAGACCTCACCCCAAACCCTTTCCAATCTTTGCCTGAAGATAAATGCAAAGCTCGGAGGAATTAACAATGTGCTTGTACCTCATCAAAGGTAAGAGTCTTAACTCTGTTTTTCCTCCTGTTTTACTAAAATCTGACTTACATAATGGGGGCGGTGGTTCAGTGGTAGCGTTCTCACCTTCCATACGGGAGACCCAGGTTCATTTTCTGACCACTGCACCTCAAGCACAGCCACCACCTGTCAGACAGTGGAGGCTAGTGTGTTGCTATGAGGCTGAACAGATTTTAGCAGAGCTTCCAGACTAAGACAGACGAGGAAGAAAGGTCTGGTGATCTACTTCCGAAAAAATCAGCCAATGAAAACCCTATGCATCACAACAGTCTGATGCTGTTGTGCGTGGGATCACCATGAGTCGGGGGCAAACTCCGTGGCGGCTAATAATAATTTACAGAATGTACAGTAAAGCTCACAAATCTCAAGTATACATTTCAATTACTTTTTCTTACATATGTATACACCCATGTAACCAATACCCAGATTAATATATAGAATATTTCCAGCACCCCATCAGGTTTTCTGTGGGCCCTCTCAATAGAAAATCCCCAAAGATAGCCACTATCCTGACCTCTAGCGTCTTAGATTAGTTTTGCCTGTTTTCAAACTTCATATAAATGGAGTCGTACAGTATGTGTCTGTCTTCTTTTGCTCGACATTGTGACTGTGAGATTCATTCATGTTGTTGCATTTAGTAGTAGTTTATTCTTTTTCATCACTGTATATTATTTCATTATATGAATATAACACAAAATTTTAATCTGTTCTACCACTGATGGGTATTCTTGTATATTCATTGCACAATTCTTTTACATTTTTGGTGAACTCAAGCACTCTTTCTCCTGTATGTATCTATAGGTCAGGAGTGGAATTGCTGAATTATAGAGAATACATGTATTTAGCGTTAATAGATACTGTCAAATAATTTTTTAAAGTGCTTGTTTTCAGTTCCATGTACGTTCTGCAATTCAGTATCAGTTGTAGAAACTGATACCAAGGGATACTGTGCTGGGAGGTTTTTCTCTTCACACATTGAGAGTTTGTTAAATTTGAGTTAGGTTTTTGTTTTTTGTTTTTTTAATCTCCCCTTCCTAGTATTATAGAAGAGCCATGTTCACTTCTTCAGACAGTTCAGATTCATTGTATTTGGTTGCACAGATGCTTGCCAAAAAAAAGAAAACCAAGCCCATTGTCACTGAGTCGATTCTGACTCATAGAAAGTGACCCACTGCCACTCTTTCTTCCTCAGATCAGCTGGTGGGTTTGAACCACTGACCTTTCAATTAGTAGGCAAGCACTTAAGCACTGCGCCAGCAGGGCTCCTTATACACGTACTTTGTGTGTCTTAAAGTTGTTTCCCAGTGGGTACAAGTCTTTATTCTCTTTTATGAGATTATATCTGTGATTATATCTGGTGAGTTTACTAAACCCGAACATTTTCGTGTGTGTGTCTGATAGCAGCAACATCTCCTTAAATCTGAGCAGGCCCTCGGTGTTCCAGCAGCCCGTCATTTTCCTGGGAGCGGATGTCACGCACCCCCCTGCGGGGGATGGGAAGAAGCCCTCCATTGCTGCTGTCGTTGGCAGTATGGATGGCCACCCCAGCCGGTACTGTGCCACCGTTCGGGTGCAGACCTCCCGTCAGGAGATCTCTCAGGAGCTCCTCTACAGTCAGGAGGTAATCCAGGACCTTACTAACATGGTGCGAGAGCTGCTGATCCAGTTTTACAAATCTACCCGCTTCAAACCCACTCGGATCATCTATTACCGTGGAGGCGTATCTGAGGGACAAATGAAACAGGTACTCTTTCATTATTCCAATGTTGCTCTTTGGGGCTTCTAAGAGTCAGATGGAACTTCCTCCCACCTGCTACCATGGGAAAATCAGATCTGAGAGATGCTAGGAGAGTTCTCAGTTAAATATAATTCCATTTCTAACTCCTAGGTAGCTTGGCCGGAACTAATAGCAATTCGAAAGGCATGCATTAGCTTGGAAGAAGATTACCGGCCAGGAATAACCTATATTGTGGTGCAGAAAAGACATCACACACGACTCTTCTGTGCAGATAAAACAGAAAGGGTAAGAAGACATAGTACAAGCCTTGTTATCTGAGGCTGTTGCAAGTGACTGTGTTTTTGAGTGGGTTTATATGTAATTTTTTTGTCTAAAAGTACAAGTGCCTAATAATCATTTAATAAATAGCACTAATTGCAGTTGAGGCTAGATGATCGATTCTGAAAGATACAGGTTTCAGGACTGAATTATTTCTCTTGTGTGACAGAAATGCTGGTTTCCAGAGTTTGGGGGAGTGAGAGACATGCCAGGTACACTGTGGTGACACAGGCAATCTCCAAAGGACAGACTTATCTATTTGGACTTTATTGCCATTTGCTACTTTTTGTTGCCAGTGCCTAGCCAAGGCTCTAGGAAATTCTAGAAGAATTTCTGTTCAAAACTTTTACTTCAGTGCAGGAGATTCTCAAGGCACAAACTTCGAATGCTTATGATATTACACTTTTTAACAATGGGCAAATTACTTTGCTTCTCTAAGCCACAATATTCTCATCTGTAGAATGGGAGATAAGAACAATATCTCTCTCACAGGGTTGTTGTAAGGATTAAATTAATAAATGAATGTTAATTTTGGGCACAATTCCCAGCCCTTAATAAAAGGCATTTTATGTTATCTGTTTATAATCTGTTGTTTGCGTGTAAACTAGGTAAGTTAACCAATTGCTGTCAAGTCAATTCAATTATGACTCATGACCCATGTGTGTAGAGCAGAACCATTCAATAGGGTTTTTAAGGCTGTGACCTTTTGGAAGCAGATCACCTGGCCTTTCTTCCGAGGCACCTCTGAGTAGGTTTGAACTACCAACCTTTTGGTTAGTAGTCAAGCACTTAACCATTTGTATCACCCAGTTACAGATACATAATGTTGGATCACTTTGCTCCTTTACTCTTGCTTATGACATTATTTTATCTGGCACAGGCCCTCCCTGTTTCATCCCCAAGGAGACCAGATCCTTGTGTTGCCTAATCTTATGGGTCACTCTCATTATTTTCTAGTACATCCCTAGTTTTTGTCTCCAATCCAAGGCTGAGCTATTTCTGTTTTCTGAATCATTACTGAAAAAAAGATTCTTTTATCCTTGGGCCACAGGTCCACCAATCAGCTCAGATTAAAAGTGCTGTCTTCTCAATTGCCCAAACTCTGATTCAACAATACTTCTTAGACTTTGCTAATACAAATTCCCCGAACTCTTGCCTAAACTATGAGTACAAAACATCCTGCCAACCCTCCTCAACTGCTGTTGTCATCCCTCTGTTGACTTGTCTTATGACCTGGATTATCTTTCTAAAACCCCAAGCTATTTCATAGTTTTGTTCTTTACCGTTCAGTGTCACTACTAATCTTTCAAGACTGACGGTGTCAGTCTTTGGTTTATGTTGCACCCCCAATATGCCCCAACATCCTCAATTCTCTATTAAAACCCCCATCTTGCCAATATTCAGCTCTGAATCAGTCCATTTTTTCATTCAGCGTGTTCATTGGCTTTGCTTCTACTCTTAGGCTGATAGGGGTTGCTGGGGTGAAAAAAATCATTTGTTTAATAATGAACCTATTACAAATGCAAATCTCAGCCAGGCTTCTGATGCTGCTTTGGCAATTCTTTCATTTACACTGTTCCTCATAGCGTCTGTTCCAGACCTATATACTCTTCTCAAGTCCCTTCCTTGTCCATGATGCCTTCATTGCCAGCAAAATCCTACCTTCTATTTCCCCTAGAAAATAGAATCTAGAAAGAATTTTCTCAGCTTCCTCTCTTTTACTTTCGTTAAATCTTCACCTACCTGTGCTTCGTCCACCTGTGCTTTTGATCCTAATCCTTTCTGCCTTCTCTAGAATCTTACTTCATTAATTACCTATTATTTTTCAAAATTTCAGTCTTTCCCATTCTATTGTCTCCCTCCCCTCACCCTATAAAGTTGCTGAAGTCTTCCTCAGTCCTCCCAATAAATTTTGCCCCACTTCTCCCTCAGTCTACCTGCCGTCTTATCTTTCTTCCATTTCATGATCAAACTTTTTAAAAAAAATACTTGACTTTCTAGTTCTGCCTTCTCACCTCATACTTCAGTTCTCTGAAGACGGGATTCTATTTCAGTGACTCTGTTGACTTCTCTCAATGACTTGCTCCTTTCAAATCCAGGGATAACTTGTCAGGCTCCCTCACTGACCTCTTTGCAGCATTTAAGACAATCACCCCCCTTCACTGACCTTAGCAATGTGACTTTCTTTTTTTTTTTAATTATTTTTCATTTTTTCCCATACAAAAATTTATACCTACTTTGTTATGTGGCTCTAATTGCTCTCCCCGTACTGTGACAGCACACTCCTCCTTTACACCCTTGATTCCCCATGTCCCTTCAACTAGCTCCTAACCCTCTCTACCTTTCCATCTCATCTCCGGACAGACGCTGCCCGTTTAGTCTCTTGTATCTACTTAAGCTAAGAGACACACTCCTCACAAGTATTACTTTATGTCCCACAGTCCAGTCCAATCCCTGTCTGAAGAGTTGGCCTCGGAGATTGTGTTAGTTCTGGGCTGATAGAGAATCCAGGGGCCATGCTTTCCAGGGTTCCTCCAGTCTCAGTCAGACCATTAAGTCTGGTCTTCTTACTAGAATTTGAGTTCTGCACCCCACCTTTCTCCTGCTCCATCCGGGACTCTCTGTTGTGTTCCCTGTCAGGGAGGTCATTTGTGGTAGCTAGGCACCAACTAGTTCTTCTGGTCTCAGGCTGATGAAGTCTCTGGTTTATGTGGCCCTTTCTGTGTCTTGGGCTGATACTTTCCTTGTGTCTTTGGTGTTCTTCATTCTCCTTTACTCCAAGTTGTTGGGACCAATTGATGCATCTTACGTGGCCGCTTGCAAGCTTTTAAGACCCCAGACGCCACTCACCAAAGTAGGATGCAGAACATTTTCTTAATAAGCTTTGTTATGCCAGTTGACCTAGATGTCCCCTGAAAGCATGGTCCCCATACTCCTACACCTGCTACTCTGTCCCTCAAAGTGTTTGATTGTATCGAGGAAACTTCTTAGCTTTGGTTTAGTCCAGTTGTGCTGACTTCCCCTGGAGTGTTTGCTGTCCTTCCGATCACCTAAGATAATTCTTATCTACTATCTGGTTAGTGAATAACCCTCACTCTCCCTCACCACCCTCGTAACCATCAAAGAATGTTTTCTTCCGTGTTTAAACCTTTTCTTGCGTTCTTATAATAGTGGTCTTATACAATATTTGTCCTTCTGTGACTGACTAAAGTCACTCAGCATAATGACCTCCAGCTTCCTCCACTTTATAAGATGTTTCATGGCTTCGTTGTTGTTCTTTATGGTTGCATAGTATTCCTTTGTGTGGGTATACCATGATTTGTTTATCCATTCTTCTGTTGATGGGCACCTAGGTTGTTTCTGTCTTTTTGCTGTTGTGAACAGTGCTTCAATGAACATGGGTGTGTGTGCATATATCTATTCGTGTGACAGCTGTTATTTCTCTAGGATATATTCCAAGGAGCAGGATTGCTGGATCGTATGGTACTTCTATTTCTAGCTTTTTAAGGAAGTGAAATGAATTTCCAAAGTGGTTGTACCATTGAACATTCCCACCAACAGTGTATAAGTGTTCCAGTTCTCCACAACCTCTCCAGCATTTGTTATTTTGTGTTTTTTGGATTAATGCTAGCCTTCTTGGGGTGAGATGATACCTCATTGTGGTTTTGATCTGCATTTCTCTAATGGCTAATGACCGTGAGCATTTCTTCATGTGTCTGTTAGCTGTCTGAATATCTTCTTTGGTGAAGTGCATGTTCATATCCTTTGCCCATTTTTTAATTAGGTTATTTGTCTTTTTGTTGTTGAGGTTTTGCAGTATCTTGTAGATTTTACAGATTAGATGCTAATCAGATTGTCATAGTCAAAAATTGTTTCCCAGTCTGTAGGTTGTCTTTTGATTCTTTTGGTGAAGTCTTTTGATGAGCATAAGTGTTTGATTTTTAGGAGCTCCCATTTATCTAGTCTCTTTTCTGGTGCTTGTGCATTGTTACTTATGGTTCATATTGTGTTTATGCCATGTATTAGGGCTCCTAGCATTGTCCCTATTTTTTCTTCCATGATCCTTAT